TATGATAGCAAGTTTGTTTGTTTATTATCTCTTGGTCGTTTAATTGCTCAATCCAGAAACACATTGAGCACTTTATATTTCAGGTATTTTTATCTTAGGTAGACTTTGTATCTCAGGTCAAGGATGTTCCTTTCTATTAATTTGCTCAAATGTGGATTAACGGTATACGGCTATGCAATCCCAGGCTCCTTAGTTACTACAACACCTGTATCCTTTCCGTAACTGTAGTATCCGTATTTTTCCTTTAAAAGACAAAGGAATGTTAAATTGCGACTATGAATGTTTGCGCAGGTAGAAATAGTAAAAAAGACGAAATATTTAAGAATAAGGGGTGTCGGTAGTAATAGTAGCTAGTAACCCAGAAAAGCTTACTCCTAACATATCAATTTTATAAATTTTAAAATAAAGGATGCTCTAAATTCGGTTGTATTTTTTTACGTTTATTACCTCATAATTCTGTAATTTCTAAGCCGATTAGGAAAATATTTTTTTATCAGAAAAGATATATTAGTAGAATAGTTTCATAGAAGTTCCATTAAAATTTGTTAAGTAGTTTAGTTTTAAAATAAAGTAACTGGTTTAGTCACAATTGAAGTCGGTTTTAAGTGAGACAATCTGGGACACAATCACAATACACCAGAGGGAGACTTTGTACAAAAGTCGATTGCTTGGGAACCTCTGCCCTATTTGTGTTTCAATCGTGAAGCAATTGTGTTTGCATGGCTGTGTTTCGGTTTGAAGGGTGGGATATGGCGTGAATTTACTGGGTACAGAGGAATAACACCTGAGTCCTCAGAAATGTAACGCATGGGGGGTATCATGGGCGAAACAGTATACTCTGTTATGTCCATGGTACTGCTCATGTCTATAGGCGACGGTTCCATTTCCATCAGGTGGGCCGTCAGCTTGTTTGCCATTCTATGTTGTATAAAAAAAAATCTTTAGCTACTGCATAAATAAATGGATGGTTAGATATAAAAAGGTAGTAAATTAGCAGCTCCATCAAAATAGATACCTAAGCACGTTATAGATTGCTAGTAATTTTTGCTTGATAAATGTAATATGAATGCGGGCGAGGCAGGCGCTAATCGATTTGTGCAATTTCACTGTATTTATTACGCAAGTTACATAAAATATCTTCACCAATTAGAAATTATTAATAAGTTTTTATCTTCATTCAAGAAGTTTACATTCAGAATAATTTTATATTATAGTTTATACCAGTCTAGCGCCAATACAATAATCACAATAAGTGACTTATAACTCTGTCTTGCTTTAACCTATGGCGTTGGGGGAAAGGAATTGTTAGTAATGGAGACTGAGATTCCCATTGCTAGCAATATACCCAACCAGGTCGATCTCCTCGCAGTTCTCCCTGGAAACTATCATGGTTAATTCCTGATGAATTCGTCATGATGGGCTAACTGGCCTGTTTTCATTCTCATCTATCACCCTTCACTGGTGCTCCGCCAGCGTATTCCGATAGCGCAGGCAGAGTTACCATACCATTTTAACTCATCAAATCAATGTTAGTAATGTCTATGTGTGCTCTAAGCATAGTTTCAGTAATTCAATAATATTATAATGGTATTTTAACTCCAGTATCTCTTAATATAATTAAGTCTCATTCCTTGATTAATTTACATTAAAAAAACCGACTTTAATTGAAGCAAAACCAGTTATTTTGATTTAAAAACTAAATTACTGGACCGATTTTGATAAAAATTCTATGGATATAATCTGTAAGTATATTCATTAAGTTAAAAAAAATCTAAATCGGTTTACAGCTGACTGAGTTATGTTGTAACAAATATAAAAAAATACAATTAAATTGAGAATTTTCTTCTTTTTGAAGTTTGTTGAAAAAAAAAGAAAAGAAACACTATTGTTCTATGTTTTGAGCGGCATTAAAAAACAGAATGAATATACCATTAAAAAATGTAACTTTTCAAATTGTATATTCGTTCCTCCCTCACTCTTTAACAATCCATTATATATCCAATGATTACGTCCACGGAACAAGTAACTACTATCTGTTGGAAAATTTTTCAATACCATTAAATATTATTAAGCGTGACGTAGTTTCCACCACAGACCTAGCTTGGAATAGATGTCGTATAATTGCACGAACTTTGCGTGTATGCTTTTTTATGCAACTTAGAATAGTACTTAGAAAACTAATGATCCGCCTGATGGACAGTGGTAACCGTCGCCTATAGGGGGGAAAGGAATTGTTAGTAACGGGGTCAAATAGCCCTATTACTAGCAATATACCCTGTCAGGTCGACCTCCACGTGGTTCCCCCTGGAAACCATCGTGACTAATTCTAGTTTAATTCGTCAGGATGGGCTAACTGACCTACTTTCATCTTCATCTGTCATCCCTCACTGGTGCCCCGCCAGTGTATACCAATAGCGCAGACGGGGTTACCATGCCATTATCACCCATTAAAAAAATAAAAACCGTCACCTATAAACATGAGCAGTATCATGGATATAACAGAGTATAATGTCTCATCCATGATACTCCCCATATGTTGCCATTCCTGAGAACTCAGGTGTTATTTCTCTGTACCCTGTAAATTCACTGCCATATCCCACCTTTCAAACTGAAACAGTCATACAAACATAACTGCTTCACGGTAGAAACACGAATAGGACAGAGCTGCCCAATCAAATGACTTTTGTACAAATCTCCCTGTGGTTTTTGATTCGAAGTAAGCTTAGTAAAGCCTACTTAATCAAAGTACATTTAAACTCAAAATTCCTAGATTAAATTTACGTTGAATTAAGTTTAGTAGAATGATAAAAACTGCATTATTATAGAAAATGTTTAGTTTTAAAACGTTTGATTTCTTGTATATGATCTTATTTTTAACAATTTTTTTATATAGCGATAATTATACGATCATGCTATGATCCCTGTAGAACAATTCTTTACAGCCCCGAGTCGGATTTTAAAGTCATGCTAAGGTATTATAAATTTTTAAATTCTTATCAATTTTAGTATTTCAGATATTATTAGTGTATTGTTGATGACATGATGACATTTACTTTTTTCTTATATATAGTCTTTAAAACTTTATAATAAACTATTTAACATAAGAAATTTTCATTAAAATAATGCAATTTATATATAATTATAATATAATATTATTTTGTTAACATATTGTTCACAATCCATTTATAAAGTTCTGTTTTATCTTATTATGATTATAATATCTCGGTCAGAAACCGGAGAATCAAAAGAATAAAAAGGTTTTCGCGACCATCTCTTGTCCCCTCCCTCCAACCTCTCTATGGGATGTAGAAGACTCAAATAAATTATATGCAAATGTGATATTTTGTGTGATTTTATTTCCAGTGCAGGGCAACTTGTATAAAATTCCAGAGATGCAAAGTCTCAGTCAAGATTGAACCAATTTTTTATTTGTTGAATGGCAGCTTTAGACGTCACTTTAAGGAAAACTTGTTTACCAAATTCGGCACAACGTAATAAAGATTGTGTTCTTGAATCGGTCTCTCGGACTTCGAAACGAATTGAACAGATGCTTCATTTTTAGGGTTCCATACTTAAAAAAACCTTCATAAATAATCTTAATTATGCGATCCGGTTTTTGAATATAGTTATGGTGCAAAATAAAAAAAAATCAAATTGCAATATCAATAATAAAATAAAATAAAGTATCTATTTCATATAAAAGACATATTATATTAGTATTAATTTTATATATTTATTTATGCTTTTGCACACATTAAAATATGTCTATAGGGCTGACTTAATGCCTGATGGCATTCTCTACTCGTCAACCGTTACGCTAAATAGACAATAAATAGCAGTGCATTAGTCTAGCAAAATCAATTTGTAAATTAAATAAATGATTTCATAAATAACAATATAAACGCATTTTAAGATGTATGAACATACAAACATATAGAATGATATATTATATATACAAAAACTATACATACATAAGTCACTTACAATACAATACACATATAAATAACTATACATAATACATATTAATATAATAAATATATAGTTAAGTCATGGTTAATTAAAGAGCTTCAATCTATTATGCTATATAATAGTATTATATAGTAATTTAATTTAAGATAAATTCCTTTAATTTTAATTCTTTAATGATATGTAGCTAGGTTTATTCAAATATTTTTTTGTCTAAAGAAAACATAAATCTATTAACAGGTTAGTTTACAATATATATGAAACTCTTGGTATTTAAGTTCAATTTGCACTTGACCGATTTTATTTATTCTAAACCTATTTCTAGGTTAATATTCTAATATGGCATTATTCTGGCATAGTTTATATATATGTATCACTTTTTTTTTTTTTATTTATATTGAACGAATTATAGTATTTTTAAACATTTTTATTTATGATTCGATTCTTGACAATTTATTACATAATTATTAATTGGTATAAAAATATTATTAAAAAACTTACACTTTTTATGGTATGCCGGGTTCAATATTCGCGCGCTTCGATATTTTTAAATCCCTTTTTAATTATTAGAATATAATTTTCATATTTTAATAATATTTCTATAATCTTTTTGCTAGATTTTTTTTTGCACAGCTTATAGTAGTAAAACAGCTGATAAATTAATCTGCTTATCGCCTATAGCAAACAAGCATACGGCCCGTCCGATGGTAAACGGTTACCGCAGACTACAGGTGCTCGCTAAAGCACGTTGTGAATCCTTTAGAAAATTTATTAAGAAGCGCATACGTTTTTAAGGAAAATCACGGCAGGAAGCTCATTCTTTTGTTTTTATTTGTATATATTCTTGAATTATATAATTTCGTTAATTTATTCAAACCTACAATTACAAAAACACCTGAAAGTTTATAAATGATTCACATTGATAATTATTTTACCAATTTATAATAAACTGTGTAAAAAATTCTATAATAATTGCATCTAAATATGTAAATACATAGCACATTCAATTGTGACGCAGGTGCGATGTATATAGGCTGTTGCGCGAGAGTGATGCGGATAGTCGCTGTCACGACGTCGTAGATCTTATACATATTAAGTAGATCGGTTTTTTTAATATAAATAAATATATTATTAAACTTAACCATTTTAATGAAGTTTCCCGAGTGTTGTGTGCTGGCTGGTCACTACAAAAGGTAGGAAGTAGTGTTTCTTTTATTTGCTTATAGGACAATTAAAATTTTTATGTCCTTTTTTAGTGGTGTTAATGGTGTATTTGTATATATATTTTTTAAGATGAAATATATAATATTGGTATGTTATTTCTAATAAATTAAAAAAATATTTTTTGGGATTTATTTACGTATAGGTGCATATTCATTATTGTAGTAATTAAATTAAAAATATTAAAAGAACGAATAAAAGTATATATATAAATTAATTATTAAATATCAACTAAAAAGGACTTTAGAGAAATTAATAATAATGATATAAAATAAAAATAACACAATTTATCTTAAAAAAATATATATAAGTATTATTTATTAAACAATTTATTAATTTCTCTTATTAACGTTACATATTTGAAAATGAGTTTGTTAATTTATTTACTTACATGTTTGTGTGTTAATTTTTAATATATTTTATTTACATATTTGTAGGTATGAAGATTGTTATTTAATACTTAGATTATTCAGGCTGTTTAGAGCTTATAATATTTACGTGACAGATATATATGTATGTATGTAATATTTAGCGGCTTTCGAAAATTATTGTGTTCGTTTTTTTCTGTATGGACATTAACATAAGTTATTATTTATTTCGGTTAGGTAGATTCTTGAGCACAGTTAGTATGTAAATATATGATTAAAAAATCCATTGAATTTACTAAATGTGTTGATAAATTAATATCGTAAGTATATTTATAACAACGCAACATTATATCTCTACTAGGTATAAAATTTTGCAATATAATCTTAGCAATAATAGTGAATAACAACTAGGCCACTGTAAGCGAGCTGTTGGTATTGTGAAATATTGTCGAAGCAGCATAACGTAAATAACAGATCAACGAAATCTTAGTCACAAATTCGCAAATACTTACTATTGACCTTGTTGTCTGCGGCAAACGTTTGTAAATCGTTTAGCAAAATTTTCTAGTTCATCTGATATGTACTTTTATTAATTAGTACAATAATAATTAACAATAAACATTATATAAACAAAATGTGTAATCAAAATTATATAAACTAATAGGTATATGCACTATTTTTATTAATATTATAATACAACATTTACTTTGCCTTTGTTTGTGATATTTTTTGGTTAAACTATTACACAAATTTGAGGAGATTTTAACAGTTAAATAATCTACGTTAAGGCACGGATATAGAGAACAGAGATGTGATGATTTTATGAGGACGAAGTTTCAAGTATCGTATAAAGTGTATGTGTATGAAATATTAATGTAAAGGGCCCCAAAATAGTCAAGCACCTTGAATTAAGCACGTATGTATTGCCACTTGAGTGATAGTGGTTACAAGTATATAGCCAGTCTGATGGTAATCTTATGGATGCCTAAAATACCAGAGGTATTTTATGAACATTATTAATTCTATATAAACCTTAATACGACCTTTTTGAAGAACATTGTAATGTAATTTCTAGTAAAAACTTGAACACTTTCTATTAATCGTAAATTTTAAAATAAATATTGTGCATTGTTTTACCGAGGTTTTTCCTAAAGACTACAGTATTGGGTTTTTCAAAAAGGGTATATTAAGGTTTCTTCAGGGTCGGCAGGGCGCATGAGACACCCCTAGTGTTGCAGGTATCCATAGGCTACAGTTACCGATTACTATCAGACGGGCTGTATGCTTGTTTGCCGTCTTCATGATATAAAAAAAATAATTTTATTATAACTGCAGATTTATAATCGTTACAACAACATAGTGACAGAAAATATTTTTTAATCTTTCATAGTTAATCGGTCGCGTGACCGACTGGTACTTTTAATTTTTATGTAACTTTTAATGTTCTACCTGACATAAAGTAGTGGACGTCATTTGTAGACATAATCCACATCTTCATAGTAAGATGAGAAGTCATATACAAAGTTTAAATTTTAGCAGTTTTGACTCTGTTGATCTGTTAGTCGATTTCTCATTTAGAAATAAAATGTTGTAAATACGTATTTAATTATCGTTGTGTAAAAGTTATCAATACATAACTTAAAGCTTACGCAGTTATAAATTATGTAAGTATTACTAAAACTCGATAACGTTATTAGACGATTAAATACTTCATTCATCAGTTTCAACGTGTTAAACGATTTCCTATTTTAAAAGTTTGGTCTAAAGATTTATATTGCTATATTTTCTCGATATCAACATTATCTTATGTTGTATTGGTACATGTGTTAGTTTGTATGTCAACTTTATTGCATATTAAAATATGAAAAAAAGAACACAATATACAAAGTAGCTACACGTGTATTTTATTTTTTTGCTTTTACAATATACCTTTTAAATAATCGTGTCAGTTGCAATAATAATATATATATCTCTGTCAGCTATTTCAAATGGTCTACTTATTACATTATAAATTTGTGACATCATTTTAAACTAGTAGCAAAGTGTACGTTACACTTCCATACCTTGTTGCATGGACCACTCATTAATTTAGTAGGTTGCAAAATGTTTAAAATATGAAGTTATATAACTACACAGAGTTATTTTCGTAGTGGTCATCTGATAGATCTAACTCTATAATTCTGTGGAGGACCGACTTAAGTTACGTCTAATATTTGCAGTTTATTAAAATAACAAGGTAATTTGTGAGGGTAAAATAGGCATTACAGTGTATTTTGTATTCATTTTATTATTCATGTCTAAAAGCTATGGTTATCACTCTTCGTCAGATGAGCCTTTAGCTTGTTAGCCATTTCGAAAAAAGTTTTTCGATTAGGGCAAATGCGCATAGTTTTCTTGTACTTATATCATTATCAAAAATATATATTATAAATGTCGATATAGAATATAGTACTGAATATCTTAAAGGCGTCTTTCGAGGAAATATATTTTATAGGTTGCAATAAAACTAACAATTGATGGTTTTATTACAATGTTGTGTTGAAGTAACACAGAACAAATTAATTCAATACTAGTAGGTAGTTAACACTTCAATAATATAATATATTTATTGTCATTTAATTGTCGTTCCATGTTTAATTAAATATTAAAATAGCTATGTAATGTAATGCGGTGGGTATGCAAAATTGTATTTATTTATCTAATAAACTGTTCAAATGCGAAGCTGAGTATTAAGCTTAGATAATGGTAAATGGCACGCTCTAAGCAGTAACCGGTTTGGGGTTCAATGACATGTAAATTTTGCTATTGTGTAATTATATTAAACTAGTTTTTAATTGAGACATCATCTGCGTGACCGAGATATGTTCAATGACCAGGATAAAAGTCCATGTGCTTCCTCATCCCATATAGTAGATATATACTAAATTTCATAATGATTGGTTAAAATGTTAAATCGCTAAGAAAAAACAAACAAACACACTTTCACATTTATTAGTAACTATCATAATCTACGTAAAATTAAAGACGACACTGGTAGGCCTAGTGGCGAGAAGGCTTTGTAGGTCGAGGTTGTATGTTCGAATCTTGCACCTGGACATATAAGTGACTTGTTATTACTAGCTTTTATCCACGATTTTGTCTAGATGACCGGCATAAGGCCATTTGTAAAGATAAAAAGTGGCTTATGTCCTTTTCCATTTTCCATGGTACGTGTATACAAAATTTTATCACTTGATTATTATTACAGCTTAAAAAAATCCTTATGTATAAATTTTAGTCATAGTTCCATAGTAATAGTAGTGCTGTGTACTATACTAAATTGTTTATTACGTCGGATTGTACTACGTAATGTAATTTTTTTAATAAAATATTTAGAAAAAAGGCACACCCATAAATTTACATACTAATAATATTTTTCATAAATATATATTCATAAACATAATTTTGATATCTATATTATATAATTTAAAATACGTGATGTTAAACGATTTCATATTTATAAATTGTGGCAAACGGAAAAAAAATTAATAGAGAAACTCAGGTAAATGGTGTTTCTATCTACTCTATAACAGACAAAGAGCGTGAAGATACAGTACGTACTTAAGGGACTGTAAGTTTTCTGCTTATATTAGTTACTTGTTTATTATACGACTTTACCTTGACTTTATTTGTTAATATATATGTCGACTATTAAAGTATAATACAAGTACATATTAAAAGTTTCAGCTATGATTAATATTTTCGATAATATCCAAATATCTGAATATTAAAACATCATTACAAATATCCAAATAATAATGTTAGTATTTAAATTATTACTACGTATTAAATTTCTAATACAAAATTTGCAAACGATACCTATAATATCTGGCATAAAATATGTTATTCAATACGTTTCGCAATGTTGTAAGTAGATATTATTTAGTAGAAATATTATATATGATGTAAGCTATTCATGCTTATGATTACAATGCATTTAAGGCTTCAGTATAGGTATATCCAGTAACAGCCGATTGCATGTGTTACGTGATTTAATGCAACTAGGCACGAATGTGATGCACTTAAACCTTTTGAATATAGTAGTGTACAGGTTTAAAGGCACGCTTGCGATATTTCTAGCTTATGCAATAAAACGTAAACTTGAAATTATAATACAGTAGCTAATTTAAATCACTTTTAAAATGACCTCTTTTAGGAATATTTAATGATTTTTGTTCTTTACTTACCTATATTTAAATAAGAACATCACAATGTCATAGTTAATATATAGCTATGTACTTTATGTGTCTAATTGAGAATATATAATGATAATTTACTGTGATACAAACAATGTGACAATAAAATTTCAGGCCATATTTGGTCCATATAATTAATTCTATAACAATGAACTCGCCAGCATACTATGTGTACTGTTATGCAGTAACATGCTATTACATTAGTAATATATTTAATTATATATAACTGTGGAAGATTACAATAAAGATAGATTTTTATTTCAATAAACTTTTATCACAACATAAATTTAAATTTTGATTGATGGTAAATTGAAATTGATTATGTGGGTATTAACTACCACTATTAATATAATAGCAGGAGTTATGTATTTTAGTAGTTTATAATATATAAACTACAAATTTAAAATATTATAAAATAAAGTCAAAATAAATGTAGCCGCTGCCGTGTGTGTTAATTGCCTAATACCTAATTAGAAAAGCAGCAGGATCAAGTCTACAGCTAATTTTGATATACGAGATCCCCATTATAATTTGCTTATATTTAATGATACTTAGAAATACCGTGTCATTAACAATGTCCAATGCTTTTTCAACTTGAAATATTCAGTTGTTTAGATTGCCTTACATTGGAAAGTGAGATTTTAATAAAGTTTTTTTTTTGTTTACATTTAATAATAATTTGTTTATATAAAACTAATTTAAGAGAACAGATAGAGAAAGCACCGTACACTTTGTATGATTCTATTACCAAGCACTAATAACAAAAAATATCAATCGCAAATAGAACCTATATAAATAAAAGTATAGTAAATAAGTAGGGCCAAATATATATTTCGTAAAATAATTTTCTATTAAGTACATTTTGTTTTTGAAAAAGTACTGGCAATTAACTCGATTTTACTAAAATTGTAAATGAAAAAATGAGTTCGTTTACTTGTTACCTTTTGACGTTCTTAAAGCTCAACCAAACGTTATAAAATTTAGCATACACATAGTATTTGTATTAGAGAAGGATACAGGTCATATGAAGGTAGACACAGCTAATAATTATGTATTATAAACAATTACGTGAATAGTTTCCCTATACTATCTATATATCCAATTTCGCTTTTAGAAGTACACATACATCATTGCTTCTTGTTATCATTTTATTATTCAGGCATTATAATATAATAGTGCTCAGGAATGACAATCCATGAGAGATATCGTTAGGATCAATATTCATTCAAAATGCTGTCTATGCAGTATCATAGATTCATTATTGTAGGCGTTAGTTACCACTTTGGATCATAAATTTGTGTACCATTCACAGTATCGTTATCGAAACTTAATACAAAATTATTTTTTATCATAATCTTGCGCAACTTTTTTTATTTTTTATTATATAATAAAAATACTATATAGATATTTAGATTAACGAACAAGCTGACGGCCTATTCGATAGAAAGTAACCGTCACATATAGACGTGTATTACCATATGACGCTCGTGAAAACTTTCATGTGTTACTATATTATATTATTGTTCACAGATAAACGTAAATTAAGAAGATGAGTTACACTGCTGAGAATGTCGTGCAATCAAGCACATGGTCTGCCACCACCCTGTTTTATGCTCTTTTGCTGCCAGCTATGATTTTATGGTATACTTACTGGAGGATGTCTAGAAGAAGGTTTTATGAATTAGCTGCAAAGTTAGATGGACCTCCAGGACTACCGCTATTGGGGAACGCATTAGAATTTACCGGGGGATCGGCAGGTAAGTTTTCCTCATGTTTTTTCTTCCTTATTTATTTATTCGTTTACCACTTCGATGAAGACAAATAGATTGGCAAAATATAAGGAGACTAGACACTACAAATTGCCTTTCACGATATTCATACGTTGCATAAATTGTACACATAAAACTATTTTCTTTCTTAATTTTAACTAAAATTAAACTCGATACTCGAATGTACAAATAAAAAACTTCACATGGTACTACGATCATAAAACTACTTAAGCAACAAATATAAAATATTTACGTAATTAATGTCCAGCTGTTAGGCATAGGTCTCTCGTTATTAGATTTAATATTCACCATTCTCTTTCCTCTAAAAATTAGCATTATTTAATTTATTTCAGATATTTTTCGAAATCTTGTTACGAAGAGTTACAACTTTGACGATTCTGGAATAGTAAAGATATGGATTGGCCCAAGACTAATTATATTCATATATGACCCTCGTGATGTGGAAGTGATCTTGAGTAGCCATGTCCACATTGATAAAGCCGATGATTATAAATTTTTCAAACCTTGGCTTGGAAATGGCTTGCTAATAAGTACAGGTATGTGTGTCATTTTATTTTTCCTTATAAGAGTTGGATATATTATCTTCTTAAACAGGCATATTGACATAGGTTTTAATTTTGAGTTTTTCTTCACATGCACGGGTATATTATTATTATGTAATAACTTTTTTACTTTCGTACTCGTGCAGTTCAAAAGTGGTTCAATTATTGCAATGAACTACTTCTAGATGGTACATATAACACACCAGTTTATAAGTTAGTCCTTCAAAAACACAACTGTGAAAACCGCATCCAATTTGGTGCAGTAGTTATCATTTCATGTCAAAACAAATATACAGACAGACAAAATTTCTAAATATATATATTGTTATAACTTTATTTAAATAAAAAAGCCCTTCATATAAATTTTTCTTAAATAATTCCCATGTACAGATATCGTCTAGTTACCATTATATTATATTTTACTAAAATGTGTATTACCAATCACACTGATTGTTCTTTTATTGTGTATTTGTTCCTTTACTTATTCATTATGACATCCTAGACATTAAAAAAACCCGTGAAATTAATTACGGAATGTATTAAATATTTTTTACTACTATAATTTTCATAGGAAATGATTGTCGCCTATCGTCATAAGGACACATTGTAAATAACATCACAGATCGCATTAAAGATAGAAATAAATTTCGCGTTTTCATCAAATATACGTCGTGTATATACATGATGTATATTTAGTAACATATACATATAGAGTAAATACGAGGATTAGTGTATTATAAAACTTATAGATTTTTTAATACAACTGGATTGGAAAAGGGCTCCAACTCGTTGGTTTAGATAGACCTAATCTGATCCATTGTACTGTTTACTGTGTGATTATCACCAGCATCTATAGGGTGATGTATTAGGAGAAAGATTGTTAGTAATTGGAACTAAGAGTAATCTGTGAGGTAGATCTCCGCGCAGTTTTTATTGAAACCCATCGTGGTTAATTCATCACGATGGGCTATCTGATCTGCTTTCATTTCCACTTATCATCCTTCATTATAACCATGTCAGTATACATCGATAGCAGGTGAGGTTACATGCTATATATATGATACATACTATTTTTCATTTTAGGTCAAAAATGGCGTTCTCATCGTAAACTAATCGCTCCCACTTTCCACTTAAATGTTTTGAAGAGTTTCATCGATTTATTCAATGCTAATTCTAAAGCTGTAGTGGAAAAACTGAAGAAGGAGACCAGTAACTTTGATTGTCACGATTACATGAGTGAATGCACAGTAGAAATCTTACTAGGTAAGTGCCTTTAGCTCATAATTTTTTATATACAACAATGCTAACTATAAGCTCTCCTTATCTTAATGTTTACTTTTTGTATGCTAATAGTTTGTAATGCAACTTTATGTTTATTTCTAGTAAATTTCATACTTACGGTGTAAATTTAAAAAAATATCTCTATCTTTTTTCAAATAATTCTGGTTCTCAAATTAAAATTGATAGAGAATCAAATCGGAAGCCTTAACATTGCAAAAGTTTTATTTGATTAAATCGATAAAATTGACGCTCATATAGATTCAAGTCAGAATATAGTAATTGCAATTATTACTATGGTAATACGATACAAGTAGTATTTATCTAGATCACAACAACAGGAAATCGCTATCACGGTCTTAACATTTTAAGTTACGGAAAATTTAAAACAAAGTACCTATCATAAGAAGAAATCTGCATAGATACATACACAATTTCAAGGAGTCTTTGCACAATTAAAGTGATATAGAGATCAATTTATTTGTCTCGTCACGTAGCTAGTCAACTGCGAACTACACGCAGGTCACGGCGATCGTCACTGGTTCGCTAGATGGTGTTCTTGAAGGCTATAATTATTACCGTTTGCGAAATTGACTCACGAAAATTACAAGACAAATTCGTAAATGGAGCTTTTAAGTAATTGTAGAGCATGTCTTGAATCAAATAAAACAACAATCTGTAGTCTGTTGCGTGATCATAATTAGATTCAGTTTCCATATAAGTGGATGTTATAGGACATAAGATCATTATAATCTAATAACTTTACCTAGAATTAATACAGGAAGCTGAATTAAATAGACCTTTAAATTACAATATGCATTACTTACGTCCGTGAAGTGTCTTATGGTGTGCAATTATGTCGTTTACTTTAGATATGTATATCAGTTTAAAGAGCTAATAACTCACTTCAACTCTTTTATTGTAGTATAATCAACCACTTTAAAGATTTAAAATAATTATATTAATGGTGTCTTAGAGACTTTGGATATCTGGGTGCGATATTTCACAGACATCGATAAGTAATTGTACTTTTTATCATGCAAATGAGAGATATAAATCTTTTTAGTGGAAAGTAACGTCTTTCGAATACTGTCATCCTTGAATTTAATTTATTGTCTAAAAGTACCTTATTGTTATTTATAGACAATCAGATAAAATTAGATAGGGATGTGACAAACTTCAAGGTGAGGGTAAGGTTTTGTTCGCTTTTGTTTCATTTCAGCAATATTATTATATGGCTATATACAACTTCGTCACTATTATCCTGCTTCCTTCTATTATATTTAATGGACATTTGTATGTACACACATACACTTGTATTCGTTTATATATTTCCTTTAAACGTGATTGAGTAATAGCTCTATTTTAATGAACTTTTTGCATATAAACATATCCTGAATCCATTTGATACTTTTTATAACAATGTGCGAAATCAAAGTGACGCTATATAAGTGTGTCAGAGCTATTTTTTTTTAAGTTTTTGCAGTGAATTATATTCTGATTATACGCAGTCGCAGAACGATGCCGACTTTGGCGACCCCCCACGCGAACACGTACATAATGGCCAATATTCGCCATCAACGGACTACTGGATATTATCAGACTCGATTATTATTCTAGTTGCGTAACCTAAATACAGCGAAGGTTAACAGTCTTTCTCTATAAAACATCAGAGATATTTAATTAAATTCTAGAAACTGCGATGGGAGTTAGTAAGAATACTCAAGGTGAAAGCGGGTTTGAATATGCTATGGCCGTGATGAAAATGTGCGACATCCTACACTTGAGACATACCAAGATTTGGCTAAGACCAGAGTTCCTGTTCAACTTCACCCAATATGCCAAAAATCAGGAGAAACTTTTGGGTGTTATTCATGGCCTAACGAAAAAGGTAATTATTTTAGACATTTATATAATAAAAGTGTTTGTTTTTTCATAGATAAATTTGTAGATAAACATACAGCTTGCTTGATGGAAAATAAATGGATTATTGCTGGAGTCCATGAACGCCTGTAGTGTTTTTAGATAACAATATAGTATATATGTTATTGTGAAGCCATTGAATTACAATGTAATGTAGTTAGTGTAGTTTTACGGTAATATTTCATTCTCCAAATCGAAATACAGATTGTAATGTTAATCCATGCAAACGGCTTTGTACAAAATGTTAATATCAAAAAATATAATTTAATAAATTGTTATTTTAGAAATTATTGTAAAAAATTTAAAAGTTTATACAATATAAGATTATATAATATACAGGTCATTAAGAAGAGGAAAGAAGAATATAAATCTGGAAAGAAATCTTCCCTAATGAATGAAATAAATGCCACTACGAACGGTGCTGACGATACTCTGCCTATGAAAACAACGTCGGTTGATGGTTTATCCTTCGGTCAATCATCTGGTCTTAAAGACGACTTGGATGTTGATGATAATGACGTTGGTCAAAAAAAACGTTTAGCATTCCTGGACCTGCTGTTAGAAAGCTCACAAAATGGGGTTGTTCTTTCTGACGAGGAAATAAAGGAACAAGTGGATACAATTATGTTTGAGGTAATATTATATAAACGGAAAATATATATATGTTCAATTTTATTGTCATAACTTTACACTAATATATATACATATATATTTAGGGCCACGATACTACAGCCGCTGGCAGCAGCTTTTTCTTGTCGATGATGGGAATTCACCAAGATATTCAAGATAAAGTCATAGAAGAGCTGGATCAGATCTTTGGAGATTCAGATCGCCCTGTAACCTTCCAAGATACTTTAGAAATGAAATATCTTGAAAGATGCTTGATGGAGACACTTCGTTTGTATCCTCCAGTTCCAGTAATTGGTCGTAACCTCAAACAAGATATTACATTAGGTAAGGTATTAAATCACTAAGAAATTATTAAACGTGTACTGTTGAAATAAATTAACGTACTGTTACGTATGTGCTTCTTTCTTTGAGAGGAGCATATTAATCTATTATTACCTCGAAGGTTTTGTTTCAAATTTACTTTTTGCTTACTGGTGTATACTAAGGAATAAAAGCAGTGGTAACATAATGACAAATTGTATATTTATCCTGTTACTACATAGAATTTTTGTTTATTCTAATTAAATTACAACTTAATATATTTTACAGCATCCTGTAATAAAAAGATACCTGCAGGAGCTACTGTAGTAGTCGCAACGTACAAGTTACATCGCCGACCAGATATTTATCCCAATCCTAATAAATTTAATCCGGACAACTTTTTACCTGAACGATCTGCAGACCGTCACTACTATGCATTTGTACCCTTTTCGGCCGGACCTAGAAGTTGCGTGGGTAAGTTGTGTTGTTAATTTCATATAAATAATAGTTTAACAAATTTGATTGATAACTATTTTGATAGCCAGCTTAAGATAATTATAAACCCTTTTCTTACCAGTATAGTAAAAATGTAACTGCGGTCTAAACTTTGACGATGTCTGTACATGGGAGATATTTATTTTAGTTTTTTAATGCAATTTAGAATAGCAACTAGCGTCACGGCCAACCTTATGGAAAATGGTAATCGTCACTTATAGACATGAATATACAAGTCATGTACATATGTATGAATATACATACTTTACAGTCATAAAACAATAATTAAATATTGTATAAATAACAGGAAGAAAATAATAATGTACCAATGTAACATGACTTGCGATTTAATGAACTAATTATAACAATTATTCTCACGTATACAAATCAAATATCTAAGGTCATATATATCATACCTCTACCTCATCGATTGTCTAATAATCCACACTCCTGCTGACTGTGGGGTATTGGATTTTTTTTTATTTTATGTCCTGTAACTAGTATAATTGTATATACTTATTAAGGACTTTCTTTTTTTACTGATTTTTTCTTTTTCTAATCAGGTCGAAAATATGCCATGCTTAAGCTGAAGATTATTCTAGCTACTATACTCAGAAATTTCCGAGTTTACTCCGATTTGAAAGAGGAAGATTTCCAATTACAAGCTGACATTATTTTGAAACGTGCTGAGGGATTTAAAATTAAACTCGCACCCCGCAAGAGGGCAGCCAAAGCGTTTTAATTTAATGAGCACTTTTTAATGTCTCCTATTTCTCAAATTAATTTTAATCATAAGTTTTATTTTTGTGATGCCAGTACTGATTAAAATTAGGTGTTGTTACTTATAATTATAAAAGGCGGAATATAGTAGTCTATTTCAGATGGGTTAGACGGTAAAAGGATTGCTTGACATTTTGCTCAAAAAAGTTATTTGTTAGTTAAAAGTACATAGATACTATTACTTTTTATGTAATAAGATTAAAATAAACGTTCTTAAATATATTTGTTTTTTATTTCTAATTTATTTTATCGTTACAATTCTTTTTGTGGTTTTATTGATTATTAATAAAACTGGAATGTTTACACAATAATTAATAAGCTAATAATAGTAAAATAATTAAAAAGATATCGTTAAATCAACATTATCACTAAAATACTAAATAATATTATTATCACTTTTCAAATTATAAAAATTAAAAGGTGATAGATTATACGATTTTATCTATGAATTAGGCAACTTTTCGACTTAATGCTACGTGATATTCTGGTAGCTACTTCGAAGTTTGCGAATATCTTCTACAGTGTTCATCCTCTCAAGCATTACATTAGTCTCTGAATATTCTAAATGCATTTTATCTATTGCTGATTCTTCTTTTAGCTTCAATTGAATCCTATAAAAGAATAGACCAGTATTAATCATACAGTCTAATTTTGTATTCATCTTTTAAAACGTTCCAATTAAATCTAAACGTATAATAACAGAATATTATTCATAGAACAAGGTATAATTCAATATTAGATTTCATATTGAAGCATCATATATTATATATTCTATTGACGTTAATTATATTATTGGATTATTAAAGTATAATATTTTTCTGGTAGCAGTTAAGAGATATTATTAGACATATTAAGACGAGTATGTCTCTTTACAGCTACGTATGCAATTTCAATTTATTCTATTGCAAAATATATAAAAATTTCAAGAAAAAATGAGACCAGGCTAAACTGCTTAAAATTACGTCGTCTAAATATTGGATCAACAATAAAATCCGTAAATTAAAATCGTGATGACGTAATTAGCTAAATAAGATCTTTGTTATTCAAACGTCCTTGCACATAAACATAAAATAGGGTGTTAGATACTGTACTTGTGGAGACTCTTTTACAATAAAATGCGTGACTTTTTGTACTACAAATGAGAAACAAATGGAGAGTCTTTCTGATAAAGAGTGGTATAGTCTATATCGTTTATACAGTATGGCCACTCCCTTCCTTTCTTTTGAATTGGCCTTGCCCACTTCGTTACTCAAATAAGTATGATGTTTTAAAAAATCGCACTGCATTCGTATATTGAAATATAAGAATAGGTAATTATAGACATATATGATAATATTCAAATGTCATCAAACAGTAATTAAATATAGTTCGGTACATTAAGTTACTATTTCACAAAAGAAATAAAATATACAATAGTATATACGCGTCTAAGTGAATCAAATACATATCAAGTCTATAACTGGCAGTTGTAATGATTAGAATGTATACTTATACCTGTTTTATCACTTTCTTATATGTAATATAGCCTTATTCATGTTATCTAACTTTTGAAACTCAAAATAACAAACAAGCTTACAGTCCACCTGATGGAAAGTGGTAACTGTCGCCTGTAGAAATGAACTGCATTATGGATATAAAATTCTGTAATGCTCATGGTAACTCACATGTTCATCCCTGAAAAGTAGTTTTGTGCCTCTATAACCTTATATAATTTCAATGCAATATATCACCCTTCGAACTGAAATATAGCTATGTAAATATTTGTTACATGGTAGAAACACGAGTAGGATAAAGAATATATTGGATATATTTTGTAAATTTAGTTTATAATCTAAGATACCTAAGCACATCCAATGGTGTTCTATGGTGAACAGAACACAGGCATGGTAGAAGGTCGTGGTGACGTCTCTTCACCCACCAGCCTACTTTAGAGAGTTTCCATTCTATTGTTTTTGTTTGTGCTATTGAACAGCTTCCTGCTTCTCTTATGAGGTTAAAATAGGCGGCCATTAGTTCTTGACCTTAATAACATAAATATTCATTAATTACTATCTTTCGACCGCGGCGACGTTTGCCTATTGCATTATACTGTTACATAACAGCGACTCAAAGCCACTTTTATTCTAATAAGTGATGAGACTTCTCAGAAGCTCGGGTTATTTACTTTAATTATCTACTTTAGAATCCTCGTAATTTTACGAGCAGGCTTAAAGTCTATACTAACTTTTGTTTTTATTATAAAAGTTATTGTGGTCTTATAAATGTGAAAATGTGTATGTTTCATAATCGTTATCTTGTTTTATATATCGTTTATATTTATAATAAGTTCAATATTGTAATTTTATGGAGAAAATAATAAAGAGTATCTATCATCTATACCTAAATGGCTTTAAATGAAACATTAATATTTATAAAGACTGATCACAATTTTGATAAGTAGGTACTAATATAATTCTAAATTGCGTAAAAAACGCCGCGATATATAGTAAGTATATCATATATCTTAAAATTGAGTGCAAAATTTTGCACTTGGATTCCATAACGTTATTTAGGCATCTGATGAGACTACCTGCCTAACTTGATACCTTACTGCTTGATAATAATCAAGAGCTGGAGAATCTAATTACTATTCCGCTTTAGCCTTTACTTAAATAATACAAGTACTAGAATATTTTTGAATAAAAGCTATCGTGAGTCATACTATATTGTATTTATTCATTTATCTATTTACTCATCTATTACAATTATTTATGTCAGCTTTTCCCACGTTTTAAATTCGGGGATGCCAGAGCAGTTTTGAACTCAATTTAAAACAAATTTAAATCGTGAGTAAAGCCGACATAAATAATTATAATGCAGTACTAAAATAATTTAGCATATATTATTTAACATTTATTTATACATGAGCATCCACGTGTTTATAAATAATGATTATTTGATGATGATGATGAATTAAAAATGCTTCCCCTTTTCAATACGAGTATATTAATATATTTTAATCCAAAAAAATGCTAAATGTTTTTGATAGTACACTGAGAAAATACATTTTCTATATATATGATTTACCTGCTGAAATTGCCATCATGAGTCGTGACTGTTCCGCCTCTTCTTCATATATTTCCTTCTTACGAGACTGATATATAAAGGCACCCTCAGTATTTTCCTTGGTTTTTGTATGTATCGGCAATGCAGAGATTGCCTGCAAAAAGTACATGTACGAGTAGCACTTAGATTGTTTGCCGCGCGGTCCTGACATAGAATGTGTCACCCCTTCTCCCGTGGGTGCCATAAGCCTCTTAATGTGCTAAGGGATCTTAATGGTGGAGAAATGGGCAGCAGCATCCCTCTTAAAAAAGACATCAAAGCCTAACCGCAGCTGCAAACCGACCTGCCAAGTATGACAACTACTGGCTAAACCTCTCAATGACAAAGGAATTTTATGGCGAGGCCTATATTTAGTAGATTGTTACAATTTAAAGCAATATCCCATTATCAATTTGTAATTTACAGAAGAAATCGTGTCGAGATCGACCTGACAATATTATTCTCCTTCAAATGAGTGGTTATAAGACTGGTAACGCTGTTATATAGTACTGTTAATAGTAGTGGTTTATTCATTTCAATGTACAATCGAATTCTAACGATACTAGCAGTCCTTCATCTATAAAGTCTTTAAAAAAGTTACTGGTTTTCGACCATTCAAACAATTCTTTTTTGTAATTTACTCTAAATTGTGCCAAGCAAATTATTTACTTTTCAAATTCTTAATAACAACTTAAATTAGTTTAATGTCATCAACATACTTCTTGAAAACTAAAGCCCATGAAACAAGCGAATGCTTCAGATAGATGCTGTGTGCCCAGTTCTGGTCGCTCCCTCCGAAGGTGAAGTTCTCCAAGAAGATGCAATGCTTTTCCCAACTGTCGCCTTAGATTGTGTTCCATCGCTAGAGCGCCCATTTCTGTTAGCAATTTTGCTGACATCTCATGATCCCCTAATCTGAAAAAGCCATCTGCTTAGGTGCCTTTGTTTCTTTCCTGTTTTGCTGTGAAGTTGCTATGTTTGCATAAATTTGTTTCGGTTTGTATTAGTAAGATGGGTGAAATAAAAAATATAATATATAATATATTAATAATACAGTAAAATTATAGGATGGTTTAAAACCATAGTCCACAGTTAAAAAAAAAAACAAAGACAATTTTGGAAAATAATTAAAATAATTTACTTCCATTATAGGTATCGAATATTAAACCTTTTAAGTAAGAAACAAAAAATTTTATTTATTTATACGCTTTTGTATATTCTCTTATTTTTTTTATATTTTGCAATTCGTTATTGTTATACTCGGCTAATTTTCACTTATAGAAAATATAATCATAGTAATTTTAAGCAACTTTTATTTTTAATAAAATGGTAAAAAAACCATCAGATATTAAACTATTTTATAATACCGATTAATTTATTAGTACAGAAGTTTAAAAAATTTAATGACGTCGAAGATCGTTGTAATAAGTCTAAAATATAAATTGATTCCTATTTGTTATGCGAATAAATAAACTGCCATTCAATTTATATGAATCAGCTATTACTGTGAGGACACGTACCTAAAACATCAATGTGACCTTTCTATAATAATATTGCAAAGATCACGACAACTTCTATTGAAACAATGCCATATGTTTAGTAAATTTATGGGCTTGAAGAATTAACTACCAAAGTTTATGAGTAATATAATTGCAGGGAATTTATTAATGTGTAGATTAAGTAATAAACTCGCTTATGAACTACCTATAATGCAACAATCAACTCGTCATAAATTCATTTCTAAATTAATTTAGGTTTCGCTCACTCGGTCTCTTCAAATGATATAGTTTTAAAGAAAATTATAGTTACGCTCAGAAAATAAATGCTCTCAAAAATTACCCGAAAAAAAAGTGTAGCATACATAGGGATTTTTTAATTTATTTATATATTCCACCACACTGACAAATGGGTAATTTAAAATGGGACGGGGTTATCAGAACAGAACAAATAATGTTTGTAATTTGCATGGAAGTTTATGCAAATATTATGTTGTCTGCAATATATATAATATATACTAGATTTTACCCAAGGTATTGCTTACGTGGTATTCTACTTCTTGCTCTATAAAATTTCTAATGTGTAACTTCAAAATTAATGAAATTTCATACAAATTTTCAACTTCCAAATTACCCTATTAATAGTTAAATTTTCAATATTCTTTTTTAATGGTCCATCTACGCTATAAAATGAATATATTTGCGAAATTTTAAGATCTTAAATTCAGCGATTTCAGTTGTGCCATGACATATGGGCCTGTCAGACAATCAGTATCGTCGTTTATTTATATATATATATATATATATATATATATATATATATATATATATATATATATATATATATATATATATATATATATATATATATATATATTGCCATCTTGAACTCTAACTTATTGAGGTACATTTTTCCCTTTATTATAACTTTTTTGTTCGCAAATTCGCAAAGCGTCACCTTCAAAAGCGGTTAAAATAACTTGGTTTGTATTTAGATTATATTCTATAGACATGATTATATATCAATTGCTCGCATCTAAAATTTGAATATAATGGCGCATCGAAATATAATTAATTCAGAATACATTTTTATATCGCATATGGAACTAATTACAGTATTTAGTAGGTATCACTTTTTATAATCATAATAAGCACATAAAGAGTTATTTTAATACGACTAAATACATGGTAAATAATGATTAGTTATCATATATAAACATGAATAAAACGACCTAATTTTTTAATAGAAGTCAAGCCTCAAAAGTGACAAATATGAAAGAATGCAATGTAGAAACAAATCATAGCAAAAAGTTTTACTCTACAGTCTCTGCCTACCCAAAATAAAAAGGCGTTCAGGCGTTATTGTTAAGAGTGTTCGTATGAAGTAAATTATCGAAAGTGCTGATTGCATAATATGAATATTTTTATCAGCTCATTATTTAATTAACAAAACAAAAAAATATTATTTGTAATGTAATTTTTTGCTATATAATGATGGACAAAGATAACGTAAATATTATCACTAGGTATATGTAGGAAAAACATTAATTTTCCAACTTATAAATTTGAACGTTTATAATAGATGATTGGATGTTACTATTACTTAATCACGCTGAAAGGATTTGAATATAATTCGATACACAGGTAGGTTATATTTTTACTCATAGGATACTAAAACTATACTGATTCACGAGGTTAAAGCCGCGGGGAATGGCCAGTGGACAATAATATTATTTTATATTTTAAATTAATAATCCAGATAGGATGCTTTAAAATACGACACATAATATTCATAAATAAATTAACTAAACCGTGACTCGTTATGTTATCTTTATACAAACCTCTGCATGACAGCGGCTAGGTGCATTTTCGTTTCACACAACCCATCTATATTATTGCTTGCCGTATGAATCTTGTACGCTCTCTCGAATGTCTTCTGTGCATTATTCAAGTTATTCATCATTAACTGACAAATACCAATTTCGATAATAGCTTCAGCTGTTTTGTCAGTCCGATTAGCTGGAAAAAAAATAGCAAATCAAAACTGTATGCAATATTGTTAACTCTTTTATCACTATCTCACAGAATACCTAGTAGGTACTATTTGTATAAAGGTATAGCTTTCTTTTATCAAGAATTTCTAAACCGCCTTTGTTGAGTTCAAATGCCTTTGATATAGATCGCTGGATTATGGTTTTATATACTCTTCGAAGCATGAAGCCAGTGATGATTATTTTTAAACGACCCAAACATATAATTTGAGATTTGTTTGATTTTAGTTATAAATTGAGAAATAATAAGGTTTACGAGATAAACATTCATAATATCACCATATATAATAATAAATAAATGCTATATGTAGTACATCTCTAAAAGCCTAATTGCGGTTGTCAACCCACCTGCTAAGCATGCCAATTACTGGCAAAGCTTATTTTATGAAGAAGGTTTATGTCCAGTAGTAGATAGTTAACGGTTGAAATAATAATAGGTAGTACGAAAGTACATATATAACGGATACTACTGATATATTTAAAAAAAATTAGCTATTTTTATTATTTTTAAATAAAATAAAATATGGCACAAGAGAAATATATAACCATCATTAGCTCTTCTTTCAGCTAAACGCGAAAACCTCTCAGCTTTAGCTGGATCTGCCTTTCTCACTTCTCTGGCTTTACTTAATAGTACTCGGTGCAATTGTAATGCAGTGGCTGAAAATAAAGTATCAGCTGATACTTCTTCATCTCCAGTCTCTGCTTCATATAATGGCCAATCCTGTAAAATTTAAATAATATTTAATTGAAGTAGAATATTTTATAGAGATTATACAATCTTCCATTCAGTTTATTTGGTTATTTTTTTTTTGTTCTTTATTCTCTGTTTGTTAATGATGTAAGCATATCATATGCAACCAGCACCACTCCTTTATATTTCTGTGACCTTTTAAGAGACTACTTTAGAAAGCAAAGTACAATATAGTGTATTGTACATCACAAAAGATGGAAAATAGAAATATAACTGAATGGACAAAAAAGAGGAATCTCAATTGGTTGTTTATTGAGTGTAAGTTATACGATATTAACTTTAAAGACATTACAATTTTTCAACGATTCAATGTTTTTTGGAACAAAATTTAAATTAATTATTTTTACGGTTTGAGTAGTAAATCAGTGGAGCTTGACACTCTTCAGCAAACACGAAAAACTTATTAAATCCGTAGTCATTCCTAGGGGATCAGAAAACTGTAGCAACTCAATATTGTGAAGACTGTTGTCCCAATAGCATTACTCAGATTGGATTTAAGGATTAGAGTTTTCTCTTTGTACGAAATGATGTGTACTATGCAAATTGTCGTTGTTTTCAGTTTGCCCATTGTTTGTAAGCAAACAAAGATTGCTTGACAATACAGTATATATAATATTTTACGTATAAGATATACTATTTTAAAAATTACTATCATGTAATTACCTATGTCAGCAAAATTTTACAACATTATTTAAACTTTATTCAACAATCAAAAGGGGTAGATTTATCGGTTTATTTATTTTTAAGCTTTTCACAATTATTACAAATAAGCTGAACATGGCATGCTCATGCAAAACATGTTTGCATTCTCAAGGCGACCCGCTTTTAATGGGCACCAAATTCCATTCAAATCTATTCATCCGTTAAAGCATGATTAAATAACAAACATTTTATTAAAATTTTCGTATTCGAATAGTAGGATTGATTTAATAGTTTGGACTATAGTGATTACTAAGCAGCTCTTATTCATGTTTTTTTTTTTTGATGGGTGAAAATGGTATGGTAGCCCCGCCTGCGCTAACGGGATACGCTGGCGGAGCACCAGTGAAGGGTGATAGATGAATATGAATACAAGCCTGTTAGCCTATCATGATGAATTCATCAGGAATTAACCATGATAGTTCCCAGGGGGAACCGCGAGGAGGTCGACCTGGTTGGGTATATTGCTAGCAATGGGATTCTCAGTCTCCATTACCAACAATCCCTTCCCCCCCCCCTCTTATTCATGTTAATGATTGTAAATTTATTCAACATTTTTTTTTTTTGCAGTGCGTGCATTTTTAATATATATCTGTAAATTGGCCCAAGAAAAAAAATTATTTAACGATTTATATATATATATATATATATATATATATATATATATATATATATATATATATATATATATATATATTGACAATTATTCAAACACCGTTATGAGTTAATACAATTCAAGGAAGATTAACCTTCTTAAATTATATTTTTCTTGAAAAATATTATCTTGTAGTTTTAAGATTGAGGTAGCAAAATATTGTATTTATTATTTATTATTACTACCGTGTGGTGCCGACATAAAATAGGCCATCCCTTCTTTTTCCGTGGGTGTCGTAAGAGGCGACTAAGGGAAAGCAAGGGAGAGGCAACAGTGTCCTTCTTAAAACATCTCTAAAGCCCTCACTGTAGCTGCTAATCCAAGCGTTGCAACTTCTGGCAAACCCCGCAAGGGGGAGGCTTATGTTCAGCAGTAGACAGTTAAAGGCTGATATGATGATGATGATGAGAACCACATCATTAAGTTGGATTAAAATACTTACCCTTCCAATGGCACTATCTCTGACTTCAGTTAATATTACAAATGCTTCCTCTGAATCTGCTCCTGGAACTAAATATTATAACTTAAATAATGTATTGTTTAATTTTAATTAATAAATAGCATTACAATAAATCTTAATTGGAATACTGATTTAGACCTGTCTAGAAAACTTAGTAGTACTAAGTGCAGATACCTATAAAATCGATTTTAAATAATATTTAATATTTTACTGCACGTTTAACTATGACTTTTAAGGCAATTTAAAATTTTAAATCACTTTTATTAAATAAAGAATTCCTAGAATTCATGTAGATGTAGCATACTTATAAAATTATATATTTTATTTATTTTGTAAAAACACGCAGACAAGCGTAAATATTTTATATATATATGTAATACGGTCGGTCGCGCACGCAGCTTGTTTGATGTACCTATGCGCGCGCAGGACGCGCAGGCGCTCGGCGACTACGGGTTGCGCGCGCAGGCCGCGCATGCGTATATCAAAAGAATGTTGTTGTTGGCGCCACGGCACACATATCGTCTTAATATTATACCTTTTTTATATTTTCTATTGTTCTCCTTCTTTACTATTATATTACTATTATTACTGTATTAATAAACGTTTACATTATACATTCTACAAATATCATTCTCTTAACATCATCCGCTTTACTGGTGACCTCAAACTGTTCACGATTATCAAGATGAGCGTTGAGCCAGGCGCACAGAACATGGAATCCTGCCGTGTGGGAGTCAAGGTACCTCCATTCTACCCTGAAAAACCTGCTTTGTGGTTTGCACAATTAGAGGGGCAATTTCAACTAGCCACCATTACTGCAGACTCCACGAAGTTTTACTACGCTATAAGCCAATTGGAACCACAATATGCAGCGGAAGTAGAAGATGTCATCACAAACCCACCGACGGCTAACAAATACGACAGACTTAAAACGGAACTTATTAAACGATTGTCAGCATCGAGAGAGAAGAAGGTTAAACAACTCCTCGTTCATGAAGAGCTTGGTGATCGCAAACCTTCTCAGTTCATCAGACATCTCCAGAATCTTGCAGGGCCTGGGGTGCCGGAAGAGTTTTTACGTGCTATATGGACCAGTCGTCTACCAGCAAGTACGCAGTCAATTATTGCATCACAACCAAAAGCCTCACTAGAAGAACTAGCCGAGTTGGCAGACAGGATACATGACGTTGTACCTCCAATTCTGCAAGTAGCATCCACATCGGCAGCAACATCTTCTGGTATGTCTATTAATCACCTAAACCAGCAAATAGAAGAGCTTACAAAACAAGTCTCCGCTCTCACTACAAGGTTAGACAGAATATCTCGTATTAGCGAACGTCAACCATTTAACCGATTGCGAAAAAGATCACAATCTCGATCAAGATCAGCTTCAAACCATAAGAAGTACCCCAATTGCTGGTACCATGCCAAGTTCGGTGATCAAGCTAGAAAATGCATTCAACCCTGCAATTTTTTGGCGGGAAACGCAACTGGCAATCGGTAATGGCGGCCAACGATTGCACTACAAATGGTCGCCTATTTGTAACAGATAAGAAAACGAAGACGCAATTTCTAGTGGACACGGGTAGTGACCTCTGTGTTTTCCCTCGCACTTATCTAAAAGAACGTCGACCAAAATCGGATTATCAATTATGTGCAGCAAACGGCACTACAATTGCAACATATGGTTATGTACATTTAGTATTAAACCTAGGCTTGCGTCGTGACTTCGCTTGGGGATTTGTTGTTGCGGACGTAACAAGGGCGATAATCGGTGTCGATTTTTTGTCATATTTTAATATTGTTGTTGATTGCAGGAACCAACGCTTGATCGATAACAATACAACCCTTGCGACCCCGGCTTCGCCTGCTCAGTCTTGTGATATCATTTCTTCGGTAAAAAGTATCATGGGTGAGTCTATATATCACAGTATACTTAGGGAATATACTGATATTACTCGTCCACATGGTACACACCGCATCCCCAGTCACAACACTGTACACCACATACGTACAACTCCTGGCCCGCCAGTTACATCAACACCACGCAGGTTAGCTCCTGACAAATTAAAAATAGCTAAACAGGAATTTGCTGAAATGCTTATGAATGGTATATGTACACCTTCCGAGTCGTCCTGGTCCTCACCACTCCATCTTGTACCTAAAAAAGATAATGGCTGGCGTCCATGTGGCGACTATAGAATGTTAAATGCACGAACAATACCTGACAAATATCCTATACGTCATATCCAGGACTTTGCCCATAATCTCTCAGGCTGCAAAGTGTTCTCTACCATTGATTTGGTGAAAGCTTACCATCAGATCCCTGTAAGCGCCGGGGATATCAAGAAAACCGCGATCACGACGCCGTTCGGTCTTTATGAATTTCCGTTCATGACGTTCGGACTTCGTAATGCCGGACAGACGTTTCAACGTTTTGTGGACGAGATGCTGAGAGGCCTTGATTTTACATTCGCTTATTTGGACGACTTCCTAGTCTTCTCGAAAGATGAAGAGGAGCACAAGCACCATCTAAGACAGCTGTTTACTAGACTACGCGAATACGGTATGGTAATTAACACCTCGAAATGCGTGTTTGGTGTTACCGAGGTAAAGTTTTTAGGATACCTCATTTCTGCCGATGGTACTAAGCCGCTTCCCTCCAAGGTCGAAGCAATACAGAACTTTCCGGTGCCAAAAACAATACGGGAACTCAGGAGATTCTTGGGTATGCTTAATTTTTATAGGAGATTCGTTCCTGATGCTGCCAAATACCAAGACCCCTTAAATTCTCTATTAGTAGGCTCAGTAAAAGGCTCTCATCCTGTCACATTGTCTCCAAAGGAACTCGAAGCATTCACGGCCTATAAGAAGGGACTCTGTGAAGCAGCGCTGTTAGCACACCCAGACTGTCAAGCTAAGTTAGCAATCGTTACAGACGCATCTGACACAGCAATAGGTGCAGCGCTACAGCAGTATAAAGAAAATGAAGGATGGCAACCTCTGGCATTCTTTTCTAAAAAATTAAATTCAACCCAACGAAAATATTCTCCATATGATCGGGAGTTGTTGGCGATATACGAAACAATCAAATATTTCAGGCACATGGTAGAAGCACGTGACTTTATTATTTATACAGACCATAAACCCTTATGTTTCGCTTTTCACTCAAGAAAGGAAAATTGCTCTCCAAGACAGTTCAGACACTTAGACTTCATTTCGCAGTTTTCAACAGATATCAGGCACATTTCAGGTAAGAATAACGTAGTAGCTGATACTCTTTCACGTGTAGAAGAAATAGTTCAACCAGTGGACTTAGAGCTGTTAGCGAAAGCACAACAATCCGATCCAGAACTACAGCTGCTACTGAAGAGCAACACATCACTACATCTAAAAAAGATTAAACTGCCAGGTACACTGTCTGAACTGTATTGCGATGAGAAAGACAATGCTGTGAGACCATATGTTCCAATGGAGTATCGCCGGCGAATATTCGAAACTCTTCATTCGCTTAGTCATCCAGGAGCAAATGCTACCTCCAAACTGGTGTCAGAGAGGTACGTCTGGCCGGGAATAAAAAAAGACTGTCGAGAATTCACAAGGACTTGTTTGGCTTGTCAAAGATCAAAAGTCACTCGTCATGTCTCTTCACCTCTGGGCACATTCAAGCTTCCGAAATCGAGATTCAGTAATATTCACATCGATCTTATTGGACCTCTGCCACTGTCACAAGGATATCGATACTGCCTTACAGCCATCGACAGATTCACTCGCTGGCCTGAGGCAATACCACTCCAGGAAATCACAGCTGAAGCAGTGGCCAAGGCTCTACTAAATGGATGGATTTCTCGATTTGGCTGTCCTCATACTATTGTCACCGACAGAGGTGCACAGTTTGAGTCATGCCTGTTCAAAAAATTATCTGAACTCATCGGTTTCCAACATAGAAGAACGACCGCCTATCACCCTTCATGCAACGGCCTTATAGAAAGGTTTCATAGACAATTAAAGGCAGCAATTACTTGTCATGCCAATTCTAATTGGGTGGAATCTCTCCCTTTGGTACTGCTTGGGATTAGGAATGCATACAAGGAGGATCTTCATGCTTCATCAGCCGAACTTACATACGGAGAAACACTTAGGCTATCAGGAGATTTCTTTCAATACGAGGAAAGTACCATCCCAGATGTAACTGATTATTTGTCACGAATACGTTCATTCGCTAAAAGGTTACAGCCCACAGCGACATCGTGTCATGGCAAAAGATCTGTTTTTGTATATAAAGACCTCAAAACAGCCACACACGTATTTCTTCGAGACGATACTTGTCGCAGACCTCTAACACTTGCTTACACTGGGCCACACGAAGTACTAGAAAGAACAGACAAAGTCTTCAAAATACTTTTACGTAATAACCCTGTCACAGTATCTATAGACCGAATAAAGCCAGCTTACATATTGCATGATATTAACACATACACGAGTACAACCACACCAGACACACACACATCTAGTAATCAATCATCAAACAATTACACACAAAACAATCATAACACAACACACAATACAAACACTTCTTCCACAAATTCGCCACAACACACTACGCCAAACAAAACTGGAAGAAATGATATCCGTAAGACGAGATCAGGTCGTACTGTTCACTTCCCTAAATATTATCGCCCGTGAGACGGTCTCTGGTGGGGGGTGATGTAGCATACTTATAAAATTATATATTTTATTTATTTTGTAAAAACACGCAGACAAGCGTAAATATTTTATATATATATGTAATACGGTCGGTCGCGCACGCAGCTTGTTTGATGTACCTATGCGCGCGCAGGACGCGCAGGCGCTCGGCGACTACGGGTTGCGCGCGCAGGCCGCGCATGCGTATATCAAAAGAATGTTGTTGTTGGCGCCACGGCACACATATCGTCTTAATATTATACCTTTTTTATATTTTCTATTGTTCTCCTTCTTTACTATTATATTACTATTATTACTGTATTAATAAACGTTTACATTATACATTCTACAAATATCATTCTCTTAATATCTTTCGCTTTATAGATATGTACTACAAATTCACAAGTTCTAAACTTCTCACATCATTCTTTACATCTTACAGTTATTGTACATTACAATATAACAAAACACTTATAATCTAAGTTCTATTAGGAAAAGTGTTCATTTGTGGTCACACGCTCGAAAGATCAACTGAGAAAAGGGCTTATGGGGAAAAGATATTGTACAAAATATGTTTAGTCAAGCGTTTTGATACTACGGTCTATTACTTGTGAAATATTATATATTACTTGTGAAAGTGATAAGGGATAGTAAGTACTTACACACTTGTCGCAATACATCGATATCACTGCAAGATATGAGAGATACTTACACACGTATTTCGTTTTATTTTCCAAAGACATGTGCAATATCAGTATGATGATAGAGTAAGAATAGAATATTTCACCACTTATTTGTTCACATGATATCATAAGAGATAATTAAAGGAAAGTACAATATACATAGAAAAAAAATCGAAATAAAATTTTGTAGTAATTTAGTAGTCGAAATAATACTTGGTCAGTTTGATAAGAGTCTACAATCCTCCAATAAACTAAAACTAATCGATTTGTCTAAACATCTAAATTACTTATTTATACTAGTTTTTATTTAAAAAAAGGGATTATACCAAATTTCAGAAAAGGTAGATACTTACATTTATCAAGTAAAAATTTAGCGTAATGATATTTGCAACATCCTTTTTGTCGTCCTCCATCTATTAAATATTGACTCGATACAGCAATAGAAGCCAAATAGAACTTCTCAGCAAGCCACAGAATACCTTTTCCTTGTTCTGCATAATACATAGCTAGGTTGAGAAGTTCTAAGCATTCCTTTTTAGTATTTCCTGGAAAAAGCATATAGGAAATAATATACAAGTATAAACATAAATCGATGGTTTGGAGACGGACAAATATTTGAGCACATTTTTAAATATTTATCTCAGACGGTCCTTGGTATAAAATAAGTCACTCTGTCTTTCGGAAGGGGCGACAATCCCATGGTTCCGCTCATTATCACTTGATGTAGTCGTGAAATGGTCTAAATCGTGATGAGAATCTTATCGTATTGTTTTCAAATATTGTCTTTTGTGATTTTCCTTATGCATTACGCAGATTAAATAATATAGATGGAAATACATATTAGAGGATCATTACGAGGAAAAATATTTCGAAATAAAAAATTTAGCATTTAGCATTTTCTTACTCTTAAAAATTTTACGTGACAAATTTTTGGGGTTTATCAGACTTTAAATCAAACCGCATTGGATTGTTTCTGTCTCCCATTAGGGTAGGTAGAAACAATCTAACGCCAAATGCTCCGATTCAAACATACCTCTTTTGCTTCTTCACACTCATCAATCTATTCGTACACGGCCATTACGGGTATTTTTAATTTGGACCTTCTTCAGCACATTACCTATATGGATGACATACCTGTATGTCTGTTCAGTGCGGCCCCTACCGATATCTCCTATTCTTCAATTCGTAATTTTTCTTTAATCCATCCTCACCAAACGACCAAAGTAATGCAACACTCCCATTTCAACATTTTTCGCGACATCGTCTTTCAGGCTACACTTATATTTAATCATATTATTTCTCACTCTATTTTATTCTACAATTTGAGTGCTATTTTCTTTATAACAGGTATCGAAACTTGTAATCCAAATTCATTGTTCCCATCTTCATGTTTTAAAATATGATAAATAAAACTGATAACTATTGAATTATTTAAAATCCAGTTAAAAATGAAATGTCCTGATTCATTAAAAAATGTAAATCCTCCTACTATAGAAATATTTACGGACACAATTTTATTTTTATTCCAGTATAATGTTATTCACACTTTACCTTTTATAAGTAAAATAAGCGTAGTGTCTTGTAATGTATTTCTTACGAACTTATATATTTTTTTTTGTGGTTTAATAAAATTGGGATGAACAATGTAGTTCATCTATATATAATTTTTTATACAACTTAGAATGGCAAATAAACTAACGGCCCACCTGATGGAAAGTAGTAAATATCATCTACAGACAACGTATAGATATAAAGTTATAAGATATATAATTATTTTAATACCTACATGAAACCGCTGAATAATACTTAGAAATATTGCACAATATTGAAATTGTAAATTGCTATTTTGCTTACTGCTCAGACATATCATTTAAAAAAGTAAGGCATATTTAAATAATATGTCTAGTCTTGGTGATCTATATAAAATATATTTCAATAAAAAAAAATTTGCTAAGCAATAAGAGCTATTAGCTTTTCTCTAAATGGTTATCTAGGAAACCTGCTCATGTTTATAGGCGACAATTACAACTTTCAATCAGGAGGGCCGTTAGTATGTTTGCCATTCTAAGTTGCGTAACAATAATCTAGGTAACCAAAGTCCTATACATTTATCTTATACGGAATTATTAGTTAACTGTGGAGTTCCTCATAATTTATTTTCAGCAGATAAAAATTTTCTGAATAATATAATTTTATTATAATTCTACTATATAGAATTATAATAAAAAATGATAATACCAACTTATAAAAGAGTTTATGTAAATATACGTTATTTTTAATTATTCGCATGTATTAAAGTGAGAAAAAGAAATATATATAATAATTAACATATATCCCAGTAATACAGAAGAGCAGTCATGTTCTCATATATACTTACCTCTATCTCTTTGTTTTTCAGCCTTTTGAAGTCCATGGCAAATGTGCTCTAGATAATCAACTTTTTTTCTGAGATCAACGACAATGCCTATATCGTCTTCAGTTAGCAACTGTATATTATCGTAAATGAGGTCTTGTAAATAATTTGATGATTCAATGTAGCCTACTTCTCTTAATTCTAGAATTAGACACTCGTGTAAAGGTAATTTTTGCCTGAAAAGCAAAAAAGTGTATTGTGTGAAATTTATATTTACCTTTTGTTGGAATATTTATAATACATTATTGATATGTGGAGTCTTAACATGACCGATAAAAGTCAAAATACATTATTTTAGATTTTTTGTCTATATGTCTATATTTGTTTTGGTATCATGCTAAAATAATTTTTGATGAATATATGTATTATAAGTAAAAGACTAGACTATTATTAAATAGTAAAAAGTGGTAAGTAAAATACATGTAACTTACATATAAAACATGCAATTGAAAAAAAAAATACTCTACTGGACAAATAAAGTGAATACACATAAAATTTAAAGAAAGAAATTTTGCATTCTTGTCATATCGTGACAGCAAAATAAGTCGATAACATGTCGAGTTGCTGTAAATAATAAAATTGCTAAAGGAGTAAAAAATATAACCTTCGTATTCCCTTTGCGTCGAGAACGTCTAAACTGAAAAGTGCCTTGTTCCTCATATTTTCCAAACTAATTTTCGTCATGCATGCCATAAGTTTAGGCAGTTGTCGACGATTAGGAATTCCGCCTTCCGATGTCATTTAGTACTTTACAACTACTACAACTAAGCACTTAGAATAAACCACAAAAATTTTTTCAAAATATTGAACATAAGGTAACTTTCACATTTATATTCCTTTTGACAGACATGTTACGTCACTTAATATTAATTTTAACGCCTTAAATGTAAACCTAAAAAGTTTTGTTATCTGTACTAATATTATTAGGGAGGAAAGATTTATTTGTTTGTAATGAACAAACTCAAAAACTACTCAACCGATTTAAAAAATTCTTTCACCTGTAGAAGGTGAGTAATATAGGCTATATATTATTTTTGAAAATTATATCAACCTGTGTGAAATTGGGCCGGATTGCTATGACTTATAAAATACCATAGACATAGTGTAACGATTATAATCTAAGCATAATACATTAAAATAAGAAAGAAAAGTATGTCTGTATTTACTTTATTTTATGATGATATGAATCTATTTGGCATAAAATATTAAAAACTGATTTCTTCGTAATATTGTACTGTTCCGTACTGTAACTGGCTTCTCCTATAAATGTAACTATGTATTAATACCTCATATCTATAAGATTTTATATTAAAAATATGATTTAATACATATTAATTATTAAAATGTGAATTCATAATTAAAAATACAGATTATTTAAATAATATAATTATTTTTTTATTCGAATAATTCGAAGGTAGAGGAGATAACTTTAATCTTCATTTTATTACTATGCTTTTGCAATTAAGCTACCGCATCCCTTGATACTCCCTTTGAATTTGCCAATCACCATTTTATACCACTTGACGTCACTCTAGAGACGTGTTTGCTAAGTTATTTTAGCGGTTTATTCTCGGGAGTTAGAAAAGTTTTGCTAGCTAAACAAATAGACACAAAAAGAGGTATCTAGTTACTATTTCCAATATAACGAGGCTACTGTAATAGTAGTATATAATTATTAAAATTTACTTTCAACTAATGACTTACCGCGTAACCGGGATATATTGATTTATCATCATCTTTCAGGCCTTCCCCTATTGGGGGGTTTGCCGCAGCTGCCATGCTTGATACTCGAGTTGGCAACCGCAGTTAGTCTTTGGTAATGTTTAAAGACTGCTGCCCATCCTTCGATCACATAAGTTTTTTTAGTTACCTCTTACCCACGGGAAATAACAGGGTGGCTCATTATATGCCGGGACCATACGAAATACATATGGATTGACTGCGATTAAAAGTTGCATATGCATGTATTTAGCCTTCTCCACACCAAATAATACATCTTACTCGGGGGGAAAGGGATTGTTAGTAATGGAAACTAAAAATACCATTGCTAGCAATATACCTAACCAGGTCGACCTCCACGCAGTTCCCCCTGGAAACTGTCATGATTAATTCTTCATGATGAATTCATCATGATAGGCTAACTAGCCTGTTTTCATTCTCATCGATCACCCTTCACTGGTACTCCGCCAGCGTATCCCGTTAGCGCAGGCGGAGTTACCAATTCATTTTCATCCACCAAAAAGAAAAATACATGTTACTCTAGATTTTTTAACATTTCATTAATCTGAAAAGTAAGAAACAAACTAACTTATTTATACGAGTACGTTTATAATATTGATTCGAGTGTGCTATAAGACATAAATGTAGTAAAATATTATTAAGTTACGAAAATCATACTGTAATACGATTATTTTGTATTTATCAGTTATAAATTCACCTTTGCATAGGTATAAGAAAACATAAATGCCACTATATATTACAAATGGTCTGAATCTTGTTATTTTTTATGGGCCATCTTGTTAAGGTTTATTGATGCACCCTTGCCAAGTTCCGAAAAGATCATTATTTCCAAATATATATTACTGATATTTTTACGAAAAATAATTTGACACAAAGTAGGTAAGTTATTATAATTACAATTCAAATGAAGTATAGTTTACGAAAAAAAAACACATTTCATATAATAATATGAAACGTGACCTTTTCCCGACGTTGATCTAAGATTATGTTGTATCATATTGTACGTTGCTCATATTACCGCAACGAGAGCAAACAGCTTGAATTATCTGGTTCTACATACATGTAAAATTAAGACTTTTTGGGTGTTACAGTAAAGATATATACATGTATTTTTTTCTTGACATCGAAAAGTAAGGTCTTTAGTAATGTTTCCGTATAAAATTTTCAATGTAGAAATATCTTAACAAATTTTGTAGTTTTTTTTAATTAACTAACTCATATAAGAATATTCTTTTATTAAAAATTGTTTTAATATCACACACTTTAGCATTACTGTATCTACAGATTACATTTTAAATTCCTTACTAATATCATACATCAGAAGTCTATTTGTTTATTACCTCTTATCCCCTTAAATAATAGTCATAAAATTTGACAAACACATACTACTTTAAATTAGGAAGGATATATCCCGATCATGCAGATAAAGTGGCAGCTAGAAACTAGTATCATTCTATGGACAGAGAAAAACAATGAGACATTTTATACGGAGGCCTTGTCTTTCCGTACCAGAAAATTAATGACTTCGCATTGCTAAGATCATTGTGGCTTCAAACTAAATCAGTCTCATAGTGACTATGTTATTGATTAAGTTTTAATGAAGATATTAATTATAAGATGTAATGAAGATATTAATTAATAATATACAAATAATTTAAAAGTTTTTTTTATTTTGTGGTTGTTTTTACATAATTTATGTAATTAATATATTTAGTAATCGAAATAAGAATTCGTTAATTATGTAAATATTTTGAAACGTGGGAAAAAACATGAAAATAGGCATATAATTAAATAATTACATTGATCACAGTTTATAATTAGTTTTTGCACGTGATTTCGTACATGTAAATTTTGGAAGTATATATTTATTCTCATGTCCTCAAGTGGTTATTCTGTAGTTTGTATGTTTTTGGTTTCGTCATTAGAATTTATAGCCAAGAACATACACTTATTAAAATTTTTGTCTCTTACTTCTTGGTCATGATTACTTAAAAACTGTATGTATAATATCAATTTAGCTGACCTATTGTATTAAATAGGTATCACTAAATATCATTCTTTATAATAAAGGGGAATAGTTTGTTTGTTTCAATGCGCTAATACCTGAAACTATCGGTTGGATTTAAAAAAATAATTTTGCATTTGACAGCTAATTTCATAAGAAAATTTATAGACTGTTCAATATCACAATACGACCATGGGCGAAGCCGCGGGATACAGCTAGTCTATAATATTTTATAGCTCACTCACATAGTCATAATCATAGATGATAACTTCTGATACCCGACAACGTACAGCCTGGCAATGTTGTTAGTAAACACATCACGTACACAGTTTGTACTGTTTCATTTATCTATTAGGCTGGACGGTGGTATACCCTTCGAATCGATCATATAATTACCAAGCAAAATTGGAATGTTATACACGTGCATCCGTACTGTAACTTAGCTTATTCTTAGAAATCAAAATAATTCATTCCTGTCATTTATTTGTCATACAAAACAGATCGTTTCGTTACAACCCAAATATTGTAACGAAATTACCAGATTTCGGTTGTAAATGTGGTATATTGCAGTGAAATTACAAGGTATGGAGCTATACTTCCATACAAAACCATAGTCCTCGAGAATGACGTTGTATAAGAAGTACCATCGACGTCACAGTATAATATGATGTTCACAGTACTCCTGTTAATCATGGGCATCGTGGTTATCACTTTCCATTAGGTGAGCCGGCAATGTTTTAATACTAGATACGTATAAAATGATTAGATATACAAACGGTCATTTAGAATATCGAAATTGCTACATGCTGATCATATTACAAACTAATTTGTATAACATAATACTAACACTGATACAATATACGTGGATATAACGTAAACCCAATGAAAACTATACTTAAACTTTCTTAGTGGTTCGTTAGGCTCGCATTCAATGATAATCAAATATAAATTGATGTTGTTTATTTGATATAAAGGGTCATTCACATTGAAAGCATTTCAGTGTATAAGTACCTATTTAATGTGATGTATATTTTTTATTTTCTCGTAATATTTTTGTTTTGTCGTTATGTATTATAATAAGGTTAATGTACTCCGACTCAAAGTTACTTCAATGTTTTTAAATACTTTACTATTGCTTCTCAAATTAAATGCTTCTAAATATGTCAGCAATTTTCACCGGTGTATTAATTATAATTAACATAAGTCGAAATTTACACAATTCATAAGTTAGTGTTACTTATATTTCAAATCGCAACCTACTTATTTATTATATATCTATCAATCAATTATAGCATTAAGTCCGCCTTTTGTACCAATTTTTTTAAATAGTCAATAAAGACTAAATAAATATATAAATATATCGGTATTAGACATCATTTTATATGAAATATTCTTAATAATATGATTATGTTGTTTACATATTTATGCTTCCATATAGTACACAATTATTGATATTTTTATTGAATAAGCTATATTTTTATAGCTGATTTTGCCATTACTGAAACTGTTTGTCTTTTTGACTTCCCTAAAAACCTTCATATTCTCACGAGATGCTTGTATAATATAGGTATATACCATATCAACATATATTTTTATAGTCCAAGCGCGTTCCAGTGCGAACATTCAAAACAGAAGTAGAGAATTCGCAATCGCATCATACATAATTAAATGCTGTCTTAATTGCGACGTTTCTCTGAATTTACTATTGCAAGTCGCTTGAAGACACGTCTCTGAACGTCTGTTTTAAATGAGATACCCTACATCTCACAGTCCTATAGTCCTTTTCGTTTTTAGACAAGAACGAAGCATCAGGAGCAATTTGGAATTTTACATAGATATTCAAATAATATTATTGTGTCGAATATAGCATGTCATAAATCAACTTTAGGTATTCAATGATATTATATATCTAATAATAAATAACATTCATTTTAGTCAGCGAATAAGAATCAAATATCATATTAAATATTAAGAAGAATATATTGAAGTATTCAATAAGCCTACC